AAGGACTTCCAACTCTTCTTGGCCTTCGAACCCGTTTGTTCTCCACTCGGGCTTATACTCGACATCATCGCGTTGTTGCTCTGCTTGGCCAGAGATGAGTGGGTACTAGCCGAATGTGAGTATTCTCCCCTCCACCTGTGACTCTTGGTCTCCGATTTGGACATTCCCCTGTACAAAACTTCCTCCCGAGGTTCGACCTCGGGACGCTCCGAGGTCTCCTCTGTCCTCTCGGCTTCCTCCCGTTCGAGGACCTCGTCTGGCTCAAAGTCGGGTCGAATGAGCGTTCGCTCCCCTTCGTCAAAGGGATCCACCAGCGTTTCGCTCACAGGCTCGGCCTCGGCGCTCCGCCTTTGATTGCCATCGAGGTTTTTCTCGCTCCTTAGTTTCATTTCGCTCACTGAAAGATCAGGTTGACCTTTAGTCGATTCGTCTTCAGCAAACGCGTCGGAAGCGCTGCTAAACGAGGTTTGGCTACGCCTAGTTCTAAACTTCCGCGTGCTTCCCTTGCTTAGCTTGGGAATTTTAGTAGTCGATCCTAGCGAGTCCCTGCGCTGCATAGTTTTTAACAAAATGAAAGTATTCGTAATTCGATGGCAATGCAAACGTACCACAAACAAGATTTAGTTAAATCACTTAACGCTGCCTACTCGATTCCGTCAGTATCAAAATGTCTCTTAGATCTCTCACGACTAAATTAGTGACTCAGCTAAAGTTACACACAGGGTCTACCCAGTATTGATATAATGCTAACTCAACCCGGTTGTATAGTATAACGGTATCACTAAGTTTCCACAAGATATAATCGACACACAAAACACAATCGATAATCAGATAAGAATATCCTACAGGTGACAGCAACCTTTTGTCAGTATCAATTTATCGCCACACAATTTATCAAGTCACTGCTTTGTTAAAATTAAACAATCTTTGATAAAAAGCAGTGATGATTCAGAAATAGATAAATAAAACTTAGTCTTAAAGAAAAAGACTTCCCCCAATCGGAACGATCCGAAAGAACGAAGCCCAGGACACAGTCTTCTCAAGTGGGTGTGTGTCTGCCTATACACCCACCGAGGTCTTCTTTTAGGTGTCCTGCGATTGCCCGAGCTGTCCTACCAAGTAGCTCAAGGCAACCTCTGATCGAAAATTTCTAAAGTCTATGAAAAAGCTCCCCCACACCCGGAACGCTCCAAGTGCACGAGAGCAGGGAACAACTTTTCTTCTCAAGTGAGTGTGTATTTGCCTAATACACTCACCGAGGTCTTCTTTTATTTGTTCCCGGATTGCCCGAACTTTCCTATTAAGTAGCTCAAGGCAACCACACAACCAAAATCACAATCAAAAAAAAATTTCTTTGTTCGGGCACTTCTGATACACCCAATGTAGAATCCAAAGTTGATCACGAATTTCCGGGTCAGAATGGGTTCTTATGATCCTGATAAGCACGCCTAATATCCTAATATGATCTTAATTAAATGGATATTTTCCGTTTCCCAAATTGCCACAGAAATTTTACTCAAGTCTCTAACAAGGAAGATCGTTAGAAGGTTTAAGACACTCCGGAGGGCTACCTCGGAGGGTACCTTGATCACCCAAGTTACTTCGGAGGGTACCTTAATCACCCAAGTTACTTCGGAGGGTCCCCCTAAATTTACTAAGGAGGGTCAATAAGATGCTTAATATGCTCCGGAGGGTTACTTCGGAGGGTACCTCCAAAATTTTCAAATTTTTTGATCTCGCTTAGAAGGTTCTCCTACTAGCTTCAAAAAGCGTCAAAACAAGGTAAGAGCTCTAAGGGGAGCTGTTATAACTTCTTAGGGTGATCTCGTGGAAATTTTCCACTAAGGAGGGTTGCTAAAGGGTTTAGCTGACTCCGGAGGGTCACTTCGGAGGGTTCCACCAAAATCAAGAAAGAGGGTTATATCACCGCAGTAAAGCCTCTGAAAGCGGTCTACCTGACTTAAAACTAGGTTGGCTGACACGGTCAACCTTCCCAGTTGAATAAAAAGATGTTTTGATAAAATTTTCTGCCGCTCGGAGGGTTGCCCGTGATTTGGACCCTCCGAACCAACAAATTCTAAAAAATTTTTTCTTTTCCGAAATAATCAACCCAAAAACGGTTGCGATTCGAAAAAGTGGTCAAAAACGTCGACTTATGGTACCAAAATTATCCCGATCGGATCACTAGTCTTTGAGAACTCGCCAAAAACGCGTTCAACAAAATGGCCTTTTTTCACCACCTATATAGGTTCTGAAAGACTTTTTCCGCAATTCCGGTCGAAAGTGCCTAAGAATACTTGAAATGAGCGTAGCAGCCCTATACGGCACTGGAATAATACAAAAAACCGGACCAAAATTGGTTTAGAAACAAAAATTTGGCCAAAAACTTTCAAATTTGGACCATCCGATTCCTTCCTTTTCCAAACCTTAAGTCGTTAGCTCTATCCACGGAGCTACTCGGAGGGTTGCCCAAAAATTTCTCTAGTAACCGAGCACTTTATGCTAGCACGCTCCTAACGCAAAAAATTTTATTGCTCTAACTCTAAAAACTCAAAAACTCGATCCCCAAAACAGATTGACAAAATACAAAAAGTTATCAAAATTTTGATCGAAAAATTTTCGTTTTTCTAACTTCTACTGAGTCTTTGCTCACGCGATTTCTTTAGTGAAGGGGATCGAACTACGTAGCTACTCTCTATATAAAAGCTTTTTGCCTATCGGAAAAGCTCGGATATCCGAAAATTTGGGGGTCTACAGTTTGGTCGAAAATTGGTAATTTTCGACAAAAAATGGGTGTTTCTTGGGTCTAACTAGGAGATAAGTAATATATAATAGGGATAATAATCTATTAATAGTCGTTAATGAATAGTACTATACCCTCCTTTGCACCAAAATATCCGAATTAAGACCCTTAACTCGGAAATTTGTAATCGATGGAGGGTACAATCGGACCGCGCCAATCGTGCCCCCCACCACTTAAGTTTTAATGAAATAGTACCCGAACGATACTAAAATTACTTCAACGATACCCAACAGTCGTTGCGGATGTTGTCCTTGATGTCCCTGTTGAGTGTGGAACACGCTGATCAGCTTGCCACTCTACCCTCCGGCCACCGGCAAAATCACCATTAACGTGCTTAAACACTCAAATTACACTCGAGGGAGGGTATCCAACCCTTCACCAAAACACACAATCTTTCTATCAGAAACGATATAAATCAATCTGAAACAACAACAAATAGGAAGGTCAGATCACATCTCGTCCGGAAATAACATATAAACTGTCACTTTATGTTTTTTACTGTTTTTGGTCTTTTTTGGATTTTTTACTGTTTTTTGTACTTTTTTGTTTTTAAATAATTATGTTTTTGGCTTTTTCTTGGTTATACACTGTTTTTGTTTGGTTTTACGCTTTCTCTTTAGTTGTTTTTGGTCCCGGGACCTCGGGACAAGCGGGTTCATGACTCCCCACCTAACCCTCCGGCCCCCGGAATTTTCGGTGTTAACTAGGTTAAAAAGCTAAATTGTACTAGACGGAGGGTACGCACCTTCCCCCTAGTACAATAACGGTCATTAAGACCTCTAACTCGGGCATACGCCCGGAGCGGAGGGTTCGTCGCTGAAACGCTTGCTGATCATGATGGTTTCATGCCTTTAACAGGCCCACCCAGGAGCGCCATAAAAACGTCTATGTAACATTCGCCCAAATATCACACAGCGACGGAGCGTAGAAAAAGTACCTATTAACGACTGGCAGGCGTCAGTTACCTTAATTCTACTCGTTTTTCACCGTCTCGACCTTGCCAGTTGATTTTCTGGTCTGTCTAGGGCAAAGTAAAAAGTTACCATTTTTAGGCCATCAGTCAAACGACTTTTGATCAGCTTTCGTTTACATGCGAACACAACCACATAGCTGAGTCTCGGATCCTCAGACTACGTGATTGTCATTAAAAACACGGCTCGAACAACCCATTTTTATATGTTTTTGTGTGACAGTTCTATATTAAATCCATTGGAGATGGATTGACCCTTTCCTTTTTTCTATCTACTCATGCTCTGAAATATTAAATAATAACGGTGTTAATTAAGATCTAGGACATTACAGCAACTGTTGAAGTTAGTTTACCCAGTCCCTTCACATATAACAGTCTCTGGGGGACCAAGCCTCCGCTCCCGTGATTTTCTTGAGATAACACTCTTATCTCTTATATTTCGTGTCCCGGGAGGGTTCCGTGGTATTTCTCTTCCCCCCACTGAAGCCTCCGTCTCCACAAATATCCGTCGCTAAGGTTCTTATCGTGTGTTATTGCCACGATAAGAGGCTTCGTAATTTTCTTGCACGACTGTTCTTTACAATCTCTATCGTGGTTCTGATTTTCGTCTTTTTTATTCAAAATGGCCGTCTTTTTTCTATTTCTCAGAAATGTTCTTCTTCCAATCGAAATTCTAAAATTAAAAATTCTAGAACATTCTGACCCTCCATCGCAACACTTTTTTGTTCATAAGGCCTTTAGTCACTCTTTTTTATGTCGCCGGAAGGTTGTGCTGTGTCATCTGGCAGAATGGCACAATAATCGATTATAATAGATTATAATGGATTTTTATTTTTCAAAAAAAATCGATTTTAATGACCACATAATCGATTACGTGGTCTAAATTTGCCACAATAATGGATTATAATGGATTATAATGGATTATAATGACAACATTTTAGACAACATTTTTCATTATAATCGATTATTATCCATGGAACTCCGGTGCGGGGAAAACTTTACACATGCTATTTTTTTCCAACAACTTTCCGTTGTTGGTTTTTTGATCCGATGAAATGGAAGTTATCAGATTGCTTGGAACATAGATCATATCTTCTTAGTTTCTTATGCATTGTTTGGGCAAATTTAGTTTTCGATCTTGTACACGAAAGAATCGTTTTTTTTAACAACACAATTCTAAAAAGTTATGATGCTACCGTAAGTTTGAATGCTTTTCCAGCTGCTTACGTAATTTGTCTGAAACGCAATGTGCGGCAGTAATTACAAAGAACCTCTGAACAACTGTGCCCCCACAAAACCCAATTGTTGTCGTAAACACCAACTTCACATAAAAGTTTCCCTTGTCACTTTTGATGCCATTGATTATAAATGAATTCACAGGTGGTAATTGGTTGACGGAAGTTTTGTTCACAGCAGCTGGATTTGTGAAAGAAATACTAGGGGAAAATATTGCAAAAATACATAAAAAAGTAAATTGATACATATTCTTCTTACTGGATATCAAACGCAAGCAGAGAACGAGATTATTGAAAGAATTTTTAATTCATCGAAAAATTGATTTGATTAGAATAATCTATTCACAGCAAGGTTAAGAGTAAAAAGTTTAAGGTTGAGAAACGCGTTTTTCGACCTTTCGATAACATTTCATTTCCTGGTTCATCTTAAACTTCTTCAATAAATACAATTTATAGACCAACAAGCAAATGAAAACAAATATGCAGATGTTACTTATTGTTTTGTTGGTGTTTTGTTTTTATGATGTACTGAACTATAAGTACGAAACATAATTGATTGTATTCTAAATATCAAGCCAAATATTACGTTATTTCCATGACTTTTTACATCAAAGCCACTTCTAACAAATGAACGATGAAAAATTTTACACAAAAAAAACAAAACTGTACAATTATAAAAAGTGGCTATGTATATTTTGTCTTCCACAGATTTCTTCTTCATTAATTTTATGTACAAAGGTTTGTTTGCTGAATAAACTTGGTGGCTTCAATCGTCCATGTTGCTATTCTGGATAGAATACGGGATAATTTGAGGTATTATCCAATCCATCAGATTTGGGTTCGCTGATGTCGGCAGAAAACTCAGTAGAGGCGTACAGATCGCTAAAAAAAATTGCACGCTCATTTTACCCCTGACTGAGGCGGTCATATTTTTCAATCTCTAAATTGGCATCAGAAACGATTCGTCAAAATTGAGTTTCAACTTTTCATGTATCTAGGGCTTTTCAGTTGTAAAATAAAATAGGTGGTATTTTTACCCACAGAGATAAAATTATGAAATTTCACAGTAGTATGGCATAAACAAGAAAACGCTGGAATCTGATTGGTTGAAAATAAACAAACGAAAAAACAGACTTTGGGGATGAAGTTCAAATAATATATTTGATACGCTATTTGTTTTTAAGGCAGAATTCGTAAAAGTGGAATCAGTAAAACATTTCTAAAATATTTCTTCTCGGATATACAAGAAATGTTATTCAAATAAAACTTACTACGCCACATTTTGAGTGTACTCAGTAGGAGCAGTGTCTTCCTCTCTTCTGAAAACAAAAAAAAGCTTAAAATAAAGTAATCACTCACCTTCAGCGGTTCACTTTAAAAGGTTTACAGCACAAATTTTCGAACCTCATTTTTTAACGACATCTTTGTTTGTCAACTAACCCTAAAGTTTTTCTGTGCGGCCGGTTCGGTGCCAATGTTAAATAATTTAGAAGATGCATGCATTGAAAAGTAACACGCCATTCACTATTAAATTCAACTGAGGGCTAAAAACTATTTTAAAAAAAGTTATTGATAGTGTTTTGGGAACGGTAGGAGAAACGAGCTTGGATCACGTAAACAAATCTTCAGCTTTTATGAAAGTTTGGGGAGAAGCTTGTGGCTCCCCTTCTCCTTTGTGTCGCTTGATCGACTCGATCACTACCGCTCCCATCTTTGAATTGGCGTGCGTTTTTGCGTACTTTTTCTCGAGCCCAATTTATCTTGACTCTTCGAGTTTTGGCTTGAATATAATACGAGACGCTGCTTTCGCGAACCGTCCCCTTTTTTCTTCTCTCCACAGTCCTCTGATTGTACGTCGTCACTCGCTCGTGCGTTTCCTCCATCGGCTCCTTTTTCTTCCGCTCCTTTCGCTTTGTCCCTGTTAACCGGCTCTATAATCGTCCTTCGGATTCTTTGAAATCATCTCCCCCGCTGCGTCGTGCCTCTTCTCTGTCAGTCTCGTTGTGTCGCAGTTGCACGGCTTTGATCCGCTTGCCCCCTGGGCGCTTTCGTTCGCTCTCGCTCGCTCTTCCACCCCACATGTCGGCTCGTAGTCTGATTGCGAGCCAGATTCCTCCACGTCCCAGGTTTTTGCGTAAGTTCTTTCGCCCCTCGATATTGCTTTTTCGGCTTCCTAACCTTTGTATTATGCGTCGAGTATCTTCCGTAAATCTGATATTGGTGGCGTGATAGCTCTGCTCCTCTGTGTCTAAGCATGGGTTTTTTTGCCATAAAACTGTATTCTAATTTAGATTTTGAACTGGCGCTTTTTTGGTTGAATTGCCTCTCTGCCTAGCTGTGTTTCGAATGGTAACATTTTTATGGAAGGTTTCAGTGCAAACCGTAGCGCACCAAGGGCTCTCTCAACTGTGTTTTCTAATTTTCCCTGGTTTTTCTCTTTCCTGTGTGTAAGAACGAAGTTCTTTATGCTTCCTTTAGTACGCTCGACGCATCCGGTTGCCCTATGAACATTTACTGGGAAATAAACAATTTCTATGCCCTCGGCATTGTATAATTCTTTAATTGATTTAGAGGAGAAACTGGACCCTCGGTCCATGTGAATTTTCTGAGAGACCCTTGATTACTTATGTATTTTAATGGACTTTAGCACTTTCTCGGATTTGTTGTTATTGCTTATCATTTCCGAGAGCCCACGAGAGAATCAGTCTACGGCTACAATCCGAATTATTTGACTCATTGAGGTACTTTATAGGCCCATAGAGGTCAAAATGAATATATTCATTCGACTCCTAATAGGGCATAATGGTTTGAAGTTTTTCCTGCCGATTTGCACTCCGGGCACTCTTCGGCCACTAATTCCAGACTTCTGCGGATGTATGGGAACCATATAATCCTTGCCGCATCAAACATACTAGCCTCCTCATGATGGAAACTATGAATGTGGTTAATGATGAATAATCGAAGCGGGTTCAGAATGGCCAATCGTTTGCCCATTTACAGGCACTCATCTTTCACGTCGAAGTAATGAACCTACTCTCCGATACAGCCGACCATGGCCTTAACCCTCTCTACAAAGTTGGGGTCCTTGTCCAACTAAATGTCTCGGTTGACATCAAGTTAAGGGTCTGCCTTGTAGTTTGTCTCAACTAACTTTAGGCTGAAGAGTTACGGTAGGCAATCATATTTTTTAGCTACCTCGCAGTCTCCCGGAATCACACTCAATATCCAATTCGTTGGTTAATCTCTCCACTGAACTTTGAGGGGATTGAAACCACGGTGTTTGTCTTTGCCTCTGCCCTTACTGTGGTTCTGGCCTGCAACCTCTCAATGACAACCTCGGCTTCTGAACTATCGCTACTGGATATTTGCAAAGAAGTTTTTTTTTAATTTTTCGAGAAGTTTTCATAATAGAAGAGACCAGAGATGACTCCAACTGTTTTTGTGTTTTTCCAGCTATCGACCCTCGATATGCAAATAAAAGGTTTTTGAATGGCTGTTGTTTTGACGCATGCATAAGGGCCCTCATCCGGTGGTCATTCAAACTTTTATTGGCAAACTGTAATCTGATCGGCTGAAACAATCTTGATTCTATCAGAAGCCATTAATCTTGATGTTTTGGAAATGAAGCCAAACGATTTAGTTATTGATGAAATTTTGGCTACCGTAAAAAATTATCGTATCTACTTATTCTTTGAACATCCCCACCGGATGTCTTGAAAAGTTGTCAGCAAGTCCAAGTTCTACCCCAGCTTGTGTTCTATTATAAAGTCAGACGGAACAAACAGGTCTATACAACGAGTCAGCCAACTAAAAATTTTTTCTATGGTTTTTTACGTTGAGTAATGTTACAAGCGTTTTGTGTTCAGTTACTGCCGCGAATTTTTTCGCAAATGAGGAAATTTTGAAATAATCTATAATCTGCCTCCCCCCACAATACAGCTAGCATTTCTAATCATTTGTTGAGTATTTTCTTTCCACTGCGCTTACTTGAGTTTTCAGTGCCTGGAATACCAATTGGAAATCCGTTTACCATACGAATTCGTTCTTCTTGTTGAAATGCGGCCGTAATGGCGCTGACGTTTCGGTGAGCGCCGGCAAATTTTTATAGAGGCAATGTATTGAGCCCGTAAACAATTTTAGATGCGATAGACTTCTTGGCGTTGCAAATTGTCAATCGGGGCCGTTTTTCTGTAATGGGAGTGATTCACGAGGCGGTAATTCTACGACCCACCCCATTGCACTCCGCCTTCGCAAATTCGCTTTCGGATAGTGTATGTGCCAGTTTTTCACGGTCCAATTTTTCCATTAGTTTCTCGACGATAGCCATATGTTCGAGTTCTGTTCCTTTTGAAAGGATATGTTAATCATTTTAAACGCAAGACAAGGTTTTCTGACCGTAAAAAACTAGTTTTGAATCAATAATTGCACGTGAATCTGCCCCACCACGGAGAAATTGCAATGATTACTGGTATCTTTACTATAGGGCAATTGTTCGCATGCATAAGTTAGATCAATTGTTGTGAAGTACACATTTCCCAACTTTGTTTCACAAGTTGTTTTCCGATGGTATCCAAGAGTTCCTCAAGTCTTGTCATTTGGAATTTGTTCTTACTGACTTGTTTGTTCACTTCTCGTGATTCGAGGGCCAATTTTACCGACCCATCCTTTAAAAAAATTTTAGGACCAGTGGTGATACAAATTGATTTTTCTGAATTCGAGTTTTTCTTTGAGCACCTGAATTAGGATTTTTTCATTAACCAATTCTTGGAGCGTAATTGGAGAACATCTGCCATTCTGTTGCAGCGTCATCAGTGTTTTGAAGAATTCAGCTTGCACCTTATAATTCCGAGTGCGCCCTACTGTGCTAAACAAACACTAAAGTGATTAACAAAGTAAAGTTGCCATTCATCCAGTGTCTTACTTGGTCCTTGCATACTCATGACGTCACCGGAGGCAGCTTGCACAAGTTGTATTCCCAACTGCAGCATTAGCTCCCGCCGGATCCTTGACTGCCTGCATCCCCGATCACTTTGATTTTTTCTTCGGCTCCCTTTTCAAGCCGCCCTCTAATTTTGTTCCGATTCGCTCGGCACGTTGTTTCGGAGTGTTCCGTCTTTTTGCAATAGATGCACGTAAATTCCGGTTGGGGCATTGCAAAATGTGTTCCGTTGTGAAATATACCCGATCGCAATTGAAACATCGCCTTAGTTTTCTTAATCTCGGAATTGGTCGTCATTCGGCACATAGGTAATATTTTTACTGCCGCAGTACCCTGCGTCCGCTTCAGTTTTCCAATTGTGAAGTTCAAAACGAGCGACTCGTTATATATCCACGCAACTCGTTATATATCCACGCAACCGTTAATGTAATCTTTGGAGCTGACTGAGCCCCATTCGTGTGATTGCGCCGGATGGCCGTTGACCCATTTAATCGAGTTATCATGTTGTGATGAAGCATGGTTGTGACCCACGACTTGAATGTCTAATCCGGCTTAGCTATATAAAAGTTGAACCCGCCAAGTGTTTTTCCCCGCTTCCCTCGGCACGTTGTTTCGTAGTGTCCTGTCTTTTTGCAAAAGATCCACATTGCATTCCGGTTGGGGCATTGCGAAACTTGTTTCATTGTGAAATTTTCCCGATGGCAATTGAAACATCGCCTTAGTTTTCTTAATCTCGGAATTGGTCGTCTTTCGGCACATAGGTAATATTTTTACTGCCGCAGTACCCAGCGTCCGCTTCAGTTTTCCAATTGTGAAGTTCAAAACGAGCGACTTGGTATAGATCCACGCAACCGATAATTTCTTATTGATCTGGATTGATAGTTTTACTTTCGCTACCTTCAGATACTGCTCCTTCCTTTTTATTTCTGAATTGACAAGACAATGTAATCACTGTAGCTGACTCAGACCCATTCGTGTGATTGCGCCGCATAGCCGTTGACCCATTCAACCGAGTTATCATGTTGTGATGAAGCATGGTCGTGACCCACGACTTGAATGTCTAATCCGGCTTAGCCATGTATAAGTTCAACCTGCCCTCTGTTTTTGCCCCAGCTTCCCTCGGCACGTTGTTTCGTGGTGTCCTGTCTTTTTGCAATAGATGCACATTGCATTCTGGCCGGGGCTTTGCGAATTGTCTTCCATTAAGAAATTCGCCCAATCGCAATTGAAACATCGTTTTTCCGCACCGCCACTTGCGTTCCCTCGGAACGTTACCCTCGAAACTTCATTTGGAATGGCCTTCTTGTCAGTCCACCGCCGGTAACTTTGTAACTGTTGTCATATTTTTCTCCCCATCGGCTTGATATTGTGATCTGGTCT